CGCATAAACAGCGCGCAGAACGCTCACTGCCAACCGAAAACAATTTTAAAAAGGTGAACAGCTTGTAACACTCCAAAGAGAAAGGAAAACTTGAAATCGCATCATTTGACCACTTTAAATTTATACCAAATTAATCGTCAATTAGGGTGCTTAAAGATTGAATTATGCACTACACATGGCGCCTAATGTAGGGTCGTCATAAGTTTATGAAGTACATACAGACCTGGGGATGTACTTTGATTTCTTTGCTGAGCACAAAACAGTGCCAAGATCATCTCCATTGACTGTTTGAGACCCAATTCAATGTGTTGTGAGAGTAGAAAAAAAAGTTCTGAGGGTAAATAAACTTTAATGGCTTTTAAAAGTTTTCTTTCATAAAACACTTATGAGGTGTTGAATCCACATTTTTATTCAGCTTTCAGATGATGCATAAATCTCAATTTCAAAAAATTATTACCTTATGACCTTATTTTGTGGTCCAAGGTCACAAATGTCGACTCATATTCACGGATAAAACATTTTGGCCCCTCATGGCCCCCTCTTTACTAGAATTGCCTCAGGCTTAAACTCACATCGGTCGACCACTGATGCTGTCAAGCGATCCCGACCTGTGCATTATCTTCAAGCATCTCTTAGCAACCTTAAACTCACCAAATTATTGCAGCTTCAAATGCTACAAGAGGCAGGAGAGATCAGCCGCTAAATTACACGGCGACGCATCGAGTTTCACCAGCTCCGAGTCACGGTGGAGGTCTGAGATTGTTTGAGATTGATGTCACTGGAGTCAGGATTGTGAATTTGCCCTTTCCAAGCTGCAGCGATAATGAAATACGGCTATTAGGGGGAGAATCAGTCATATTTCTGCCTTCCATGTGTCCGTGTGGCTTTACCAGTCAGCCGTGAGATCAGATTTGGTTTCTGAAGTTGCGTGTTAACCTGCTTGTGTGACTTTGATTCATTTGTAACTCAATAATTTGATGCACGACTCTATTGTTTTCACTCTTGACCGAGTCACTAGCTCCAGTCTGAATACGAGCAGCATCTCATTTCGTTCTTCAAGGGTTCCAGTTCTATGCCTTGTTTTACATACTGGATTAATAATAGATGCTTTTACCCCTTGGCGATTCTCAGAATGGAAATCTGTACTGTAGAGTAACTAGCTAAAAGTAGTTATCTGACTAACTCAAGCAACAAGCAACGGTGCACCACAACGAAGCACTGTATTTCTGGTTTAAAAATCACATCGTATTTCACACACAGTCTGAAAGCTGTGTGAGCTGAAGGAATAACCAGATGCTTTCTTAAGCTGTTCTCTTTCTTTCTGTGTAATTGGAAAGTCCAATTAATTCTAGTGAAGGAGTTTTCAGACAGTTCATGTAAATTATCCCATTTAAGCAGCAGTCCCTGCATGGCATTATAATTGTTGGTTTCTAATCGTGAAACAATTCTTAAAAACTGCTCTTTTACTTAGTTTTAGACTCATAATCAATAAAATATTAAGTAGTGTAAGTTCAAAGCTGTTCAAATTTACTGCGCCCTAACTGAAAAAAAAATATGGCTTTGATTAAATTATATTTTAAATCATGAGATATTGCACCCTTAAATAGCTTCAATGTTGTAAAGTGCTTTTTGTTAGTAGCTTGTAGTTTTGATAACTACTGTTTAACTGCAGTTCAACTACTTCAAATGAGTAGTTTGTAGTATCTGAAATGCTTGGGTGATGCTCTAATTAAAACCCACTGAAAATCTCCACGTTTCCCCCTTGCTCTCCATCCCACTTCATATAATCAGCCATCGGGCATAACACATCTAGTTATGGGCGGCTGTGTTGGGAAGTGTTTTATGTTTATGAAGAGTGTTTCTGATTCACTGTTTTTGTCCCAGGCAGCATTGCGTTTAGATTGTTATTTTGGTACTTGAAATATGGCTTATTTTAGATTTTGATTGTGCTGTACTGATTAGTCACGAGCAATGTGAGCGGTTATGGTCAAGCAGTTTATTTTAGTCATATGTGATTTTGGGGCAAACTCTTTCAATAGCTATGTTTCCATCCACCTATTTTTATGCTCATTTTGGATTATCGCATAAAAAAAACGCTGGATGGAAATGCCAAGATGCGCATAAATTCAAAAAATGTGCATAAAAAACGTATGCGCGCAACTGAGTAGGATAAACTTTTTATCCGATCAGAAAAAATGTGCATAAACTACGATGGAAACACATTTACTGAATAAATTCCACCATGCGCGTTGAAAAAGTCATGTGACTTTGCGCTATGAGACGGGATAAATTGACTAACCAGCGGACCGATCTCGTTTCAATGCATCTATATGTTGTTTTGGTCGTTCTGAAATGCCTGAGGAAAGTCTGTCATCAAAGTATTTCTGTATAATTACTGTCTTACATGACTGCGTTCCCAAACAGCAGGCA